GACAGCCTTAAATCAGTGTTAATGTTTGGCATTGTTAAAAGTGAAGTATGAATCATTGGACTGTGTTGGGTCTGGATCTGCTGTTGAAAAAATATTTTGTACATGGGCTGAGTCATGATTTGAGGTTGCTTTTTTGTTCAAATGAAAGCAAAAACCAAGAGAAACATGGCACACACCCCTAAAAGAGGAATTACTATTTTTGATCATGGAAGTGTATTTGAGGAAAGAAGTAATGCTCCAATGGGCAGCCATTACTGAGGGTTTATTCCTTTAAAACCCTAACCTGTCTTTTTCCCTATTCTTGTGTTCTGGGACTCAGCTGAAAGACAGAGTAGGTCCCAGGAGGGAAGAAAGCAAAACTAAAGTCTGCCTTTGTCTTTTGCAAAGTGCCATGATTAATTTATTTTCCATTGTTTACACAAAGATTACATGAAATCAGGAAAAAATCAGAATTTACCTTTAAAATCAATTAATAAATTATTACTGAATGTGCATACAGTGCTATGAAGTCTTTTTTTTGTATTTAAATAGAAGATTCACATTTAAATACATTTGCAATTCCTGAGCCCAAAAAAGAAAACTGAATTTAATTTCTGAGAATTTTTTGGTGGATGAGGTTTAGATTTCTTCAGTTTCTGTAGTTTTTTCAGCTGATGGTTCCTTCTCTCTAGATGATAGCTTCCCTTCTTTTTACAGGTTTTCAGTGACATTGTCTTACATTCCAGCAAATAAAGTGTTAAGCACAACCTCTCTGTGGGTATCTCTGAGTCTTAAAAAAAGAATCAGAACTAAATATGTTCTCATCTGCTTCATGGTCTGGCACTCTAAATCTTTGTTTTTCTTCATGCCTTGCACTGTTTCTAATTAAAGCGTAAGCTGATAGAAAGGATTTAGGATATGGCAGGGATGATACTGTTTGACAGCCTACACAAGTTTTCTGAAGCTATTTTGGCAGTTTAGTTTCCAGAAATCTACATTATGGGGAACAGTTGGCATTTGAATGCTGAAGTTAAGGAAGCAGCTCTTGAGTGTCCTCCATATCAATTCCATGACTATAAGCAATTGCAGCAAAGATAAGTTTGTATTCAAGTCCAATAATTTTGCATTTGTTTCCTCAACTCCACGGTGGTGGAGGAGCCTCTGCTGTAAAGTGAGGAGTCTGTTTTAAAGGCTGTGCTTTAGATCCCTTTGAAAACTTGGCCCCAGGTGTTTTTCATTAGAATGGCAAATTCATATCTCAAAGAATGGCATTCAGGAACCTGCTGAACAGGCCAAGCTCTGCCCTCAGATTTCAGTGGGATTGCTTAGAGCAGTTGAGCTTTATCATATACAAGTGCCAGGAGGATAGAGATTTCCCAGAAGCAGAAGGTGGGGTTAGAATTAAATCCATTTGCAATTGCTATGGGCTGAAGTACTGGAAACCTCTGTCAGTTTTCCTGTTCAGGATATATGCAGTGCCAATGGAATGGCACAGATTTGCTCTGGTCCAACTTCACTGGCCTTTCCAGCAGCTGGATTTTTCAGTGCTCCATAGAAAACAAAAGCTGTAGAGGTATTTGCTTGGGGCTTTTATTCTTTTTTCCCTCTTAGTTGTGCTTCTGCAGAGGGCTTGGGTTGTCTTTGAAAAAGTATCACTGTAAGAAATTATTACCAGTCACGCTATCAGTGCAGCAGAATTTATAACCTGAATGTTAAGTTTCCCATTAAAGTCTTTGTGTGCAGCTAGTAATGTATTTTATTTCAGATGAAATGTGTGGAATGTGTTACAAATACTCTGTAGGCACTCAGATGTTTCAGTGTGCTTACACCAGTTTTTCAGAGATGCCACTTATTGTAAAAGGTACTTGTCTTCAGGAAGAAGAGTATGACACGAGCTTGGATGGGAGACCTGGAGGGGCTTGCTTGCACCCGGTATTACTTGAACTCACATAAAGCCTTGCTGCTTTTATGCCTGTTGACAAAAGGAATCTTAAGCAATTTCAAAAACCTGCAGAACCTGCTAGATCTCTGCAGAACAAAGGTGACACAACAATTGTGCAGAAGCAAAATCTACTCTTACACTGCTGCCTTTCTCTCCCCAGCCAGTGGTTTAGTGTACTGAGTCAAGTCCATGCGTCCACAGAGCAAGAGATCCGGGAGATGCACGATGAGCAGGCAAATCCACAGAATGCTGTGGTAAGTCTGAATCTGAAGAACTTTTCAAAGCAAATATTTTTAGAAAAGAGGGACACTGTGGTGGCCACACCTTCTGAGAGTCACAACCTAGGTTTCCTTAAGTGTGGCAGTAGCTGTGACACTGGCTAGAGCCTCCATGTCCTTGGTCCTGCAGCTGTACAGGGAGACAGTGTGACTTCTGATTCCTCTTCCATCATTCACCTTGATGAAAAATGACTGTTGGGTTTGGGGTGGTTTTTTCTGGTCCAGTTTGAAGTTTTGCAAAGATACAGTTAATGAGTAAATTAAAAATCGAAGAGTTGAAAATTCAAGATTTCTCTGGTCCTGCATTTATCATTCTGTATAACATACACTGGTAATAAATGGAATACATTTGGAAACTAATTTCAAGCAAAGGGAAACAAAAACTTTTGCTTAATGGCTTCAGAAGTTTGTTCTGAGAGGATGCCATTCATATTGGGGTGGCATTTTCCAGTAAAAAATTCAAGCAGGTTTGGAAACATAGAAAAGAGCAGTTTTTGAGCTGCCTCCAGCTTAACTACAGATAATCTTTTACTGGATCTGTTCATTCAAGTGTCTTAGTTTTCCCCTCAGCAGTTTTAATGGTTGAGAGAAACTGATGCCCAAATCTGCAGTTCAGTATGCTTGATCAAAGCTGCTGCTCCTTTCACGTGTCTCTCAGAAGAGTACTGTGAGTAATGTAATAGTAAACGTTTTCCTCATTTTCTGGTTGGATATCTGTTTATAGGGTACACTCGATGTAGGACTAATTGATTCTGTCTGTGCTGCTGACAATCCAGATAGGTAAGTCAGAACCATGCCTGGTGACTTTCTTTTTCTTCTTTCTCTAGCCAAAATCAGACACTTTATACTTTAGTCTCTGTGTTCTACTGGCCACAGACATTAAAGTGGTTCATTATTCCCTCCCTCTTCATAGTACTGTTAAAACATGTCCATGGAATAGGAATGATGGTACACTTTGTGGGGGCTTTAATAACTTCCCTGACACCGCTTCATGTATGAACTCTTCAGTTCCTAAAGTGATCCAAAAGTAGAAGATTTTTTTCTGTTCAGCTTCTCATGCATGAATGTTGTATTCTTCAGGGATGAAAATTCTTTCCCAGAATGAAAATGTCTTGTAACAAAGAAGACAGTGCAGCATAAAACCAACAAAAACATCAGGATATTCTTAGTTTTTGAACTACTAACAATGTTTTAGGGGATAAAAAGTAATCTGGGTTCAGACTATGACTCTGGTTATAAGGTTACTGGCTGTGAGGTGTTATTTGTACTGTAGGAGTTCACTCCAGTTTCTCTTCATTGCACATGTGTGAAACAGCTGGTTTTAAGTTACTGCTTTGTCCTTGGTCTGCCAAGACACTGATACCAGAAGTAACAGTGATTACAAGCCCATTGTGTAAGCAATGCAACACAAATGTCCAGACCATACACAATTTTAAGCTAGCAGTTCTCTTGCTAATATAAATTAAGCATTTCTCTTGTAAGCATTTTTCACATGTATTTTTTTGTCTTATAATTTTTTTTTTGTTTTAGTTCTCTGATTTTAAATAAGGATGGAAGGATTTTCAGTTAGGAAACAAATTTGACTAATATAGATTATTTTTATCTTGACACATATGAACCCCTCATAGCTCAAAAGAGAGAAGCGAGCAGACAGACGTTTGAATCTATATTCAGAAAGAAACCCAAGAACTGGGTTTCCATCTTTTTCCTAGACTAGGAAGGAGGAGAGGGGAGTCTGGAAGGTTGGCTACTGTTGATCATAATCTCCTGTTTGATAGCTTGATCTGCCTTAGTTTATACCTTAAGTCTCTCCTTTTTCAGTTCTTTTGCTACAGCTTCTGTCCTGTATATCTCATTATCCAGCTTTCTAGAGCATGTTCCATGTAGCTCAATCTAAAGCTGCCTCCTCTTCACACATTTTAAAAAATGGTCAACAAAACTCTGTTCGGTTCACATGCCCATTTCTTTCCTCATCCACCACCCTTTCTGACTCATGTAGCACTTCAGCACCACAGTCAGTGTGGCCAAGAACTTGGGTTCTGATCACTCTCTTCCACTTCTCTATGGTACCAGTGGGCATTAGCAGTAGGTAACACTTAGATAACCTTTAAAATAACTTATACACTTCTCTTGTTACTTGATTTACTATAACCTCCCTTCACACAGTTTTCTAATTTTTCCTCCTAGTAGTTATATTTACTTTGTCCTTTATCCTGTCAGCCATCTAGCTTTTATGTGACACACTGGTTTTGGAGAATGGTATCATATTTGGGTGAACCTCTCCATCCCCATAAACAGTTTTTAGATTCTAATTTCTACTCAGTTACCTTCTTCCAACAACTGTAAAAAGCAGTCTTGTCAGCTTCTCGTGCTTGGGGTGGCCCAGACGGCATTGTTCCCATTTACTACATCCAATACAGTTATTTAGAAAAACTCTGTGCTCCAGGATGAAAACGTTAATGGTAAAGGGTTAAAGAAGTGTTTGTAGGCTGAGGAACCTGCCTCTCTAATCCAGAGAGACATCAGCACACTTCACTTGGGCTAGTTCTTCATGCTTCAGTAAATCCTGGTGTAGGATTGGATAAAAGCCAGACTCTCATTAAAAATAGATTGTATTCTCTGTGAATTGGGTTGCACTGCATTAAAAATAAAAGACTCTTGTGTTCACATGCTGCTTCACTATAGACCTTTGTAAACTTTAGTTTGTTTTAGCTAATGTAACTACTGAAGCAGACACTCTAAATAGATCTGACCCTGAAACAGAGTTCTGATTCACATCTAAAGCTGATTAAAGATTGGAAGTTTTTCTCACCACAGATTTATTTTGAGATAGGACAAGTTGCAATTTAATGTAAACTTTCCCACCATTCAGAAAACTAGCATTTTGGTGTGAATCTAACATAACCGAGTCTTTTAAAATGCTTAATATTTCTTTTTAGGTGATAAATAAATAATGCTTTAGAGGTGGACAGTATTTGTCTGAATAGAAAATGGAAACAATGGACAGTCTTTATGATTATGGAGAGTGAGATAAACAGTACATATGTTGATTATAAAGGCTTTTTCAATTGTCATTTATTTTCATAGACCCAACTCATTTGTGATCATCACTGCTAATCGTGTTCTTCACTGTAATGCTGACACTCCTGAAGAGATGCATCACTGGATAACCCTGCTCCAGAGGTCAAAGGGGGACACTAGAGTGGAGGGACAAGAATTCATTGTGAGGGGTAAGAACTGAGGGGGGCAGTAAAGTAAATAACATCCATTACGTGTTGAAGAGATTGTCCCCACAATACAATCTGGTAATATGCCAGGATGGTAGAGTTGGAGCCGCATCTTTGTATGGTGGAGTTTACTCACAAATTAATACAGCTGAAATTATATTCCTGCTGTGCCATGTAAGAAAACACTGTAATGATGACAAAAATGTTTTTGTAAGTTGACAGAAGAATTTTTTTTGTGAAATATCAAAATTGAAAATGTTTTTGTATTAATTTTATTGTCTTTATTATTTAATTGTTTGAGAATTGTACTCAAAGTTGTTTGATATGTGAGCTTATCAATTTTACATATGTTTTTGTTGTTCGAAATATAAAACTAACTTCTGTATACAACCTAGTTTTGTCCAACTCACTCTGTTCAAGAAAAAAAAATGTGATTCAAATTGTATCTTGAGTAGGATGGCTACACAAGGAAGTAAAGAACAACCCAAAGATGTCTTCCTTAAAACTGAAGAAGCGTTGGTTTGTTTTGACGCACAATTCTTTGGACTACTACAAGAGTTCGGAGAAAAATGCATTGAAATTGGGTACATTGGTCCTGAACAGCCTCTGCTCAGTGGTCCCACCTGATGAAAAGATCTTCAAAGAGACAGGTAATGGTTTGTTCTTGTTCAAATATGCCTTCAGTTGCCTGCTGTCCTTCTAGCTAGTAATGCAACAAACAATGCATAAGAATACTTTAAATGGATTATTAAGGGTGCAGTTCAATGAACAAATCAGGTTCCTAACTCACTGAGGTGTTTTACAGGGACTTACTGGGTGAAAAACTGAGGTAGTGTATACAGGAATAAAATTTGTTCTCACCTGTATTCAAATTATCATAGACTAATACTGTTGCTAAGTTAGTGTTCACACTTACGCTTACACATCAAGGACTTGAGGAAAGACATATGGGTAGCACTCTCCTCATACATTATTTTATATGCTCAGGAACTATGAGGGCTAACATTGGTAGAGCAGGTATAGGGAGATCCAGAATAAGAATCCAGTTTGTGGTAACCTACATACTGCACTTGAGTCAGCTCCTCTGTGTGTTTTCAAAACTGGTTTTCAACTCAGAAATGTCTGTTTGCAAATGAGAAGCGACTGTTGACAGTCCTGTATAAGCTCATTGGGGTCACTGACACTTCAAAGAGGCTTTCACTAGCGAAAGATGAAACACATTTCCTTTAATTTAACCTGCTTCATAAAAAGCCTATACAATGATGCAGAGAGAGAATTTGAACTGAAATGCTCTTCCTATCATACTTGCCACTTCATTCGTGTAAAATTAATAACTTCTTTACAGAAGAGATAGTTTGTGCTTTATACCTGTTTGTATGTGTGCCACAGATAATTAAAGACTCTCATGTACAAAGCAAGACTGTCTCAGGTTTTCCTATTACAGACAGGACTGGAGAAGTAGGGCCACAAGCCACAAGGAGCTAACTATTCCATAGTCACTTCTGTGGTGCTTACAGTCACTTCTGCTAAGATTACTGGATAAAATGGGAGGCTGCATGATGCATAGTTGTACTCCAAGGTTACTCCTAGGATCTCTTAAAGGAGAGAATCTCCTTTAATATCATAATATCTGTATTATGATACTTAATGACTCATACAACTTATTAGCTCCTGGAAAACTGCCAGCATGGTCCAGGATGCAGCACTCAGTGTCTGATGGGATGCAGCTTTTATGGCTAATAATTTCACTGTTGTGCTAGGTTACTGGAATGTAACTGTGTATGGACGCAAACACTGTTACCGTCTCTATACAAAATTGCTTAATGAGGCGACCCGCTGGTCAAGTGCCATCCAGAACGTGATTGACACAAAAGCACCAATTGATACTCCAACGCAGCAACTTATTCAGGATATTAAGGTAGGCACAAGCAGGATGGGGAGGGGTGAGAAAGAATGGTTGCTTAAATCTTTTTTATTTTGGCTTAGCCAAAATAAAGCAGAAAATTAAGTTTTAATCACACAGTGCCACAGACTGACTTTGTGAAACCTGAATGTATTCACTGACCTGATAAAGGAATTTCTATCTGAGCAGTAGAAGAGCAAAGTATGAAGTGAAACTTGGAGGGCAAAAGGGATAACCTTTTTCCATGAAAACATTAACAACTTTTACTGGTTTGTGTAACTTGACAGGCACGACTGCATCTGGCAGTAGAGCACAGTGTACAGGTTCATAGCAGACAGGTTCATGGCAGACATGTTTGGCTGTGTCCACAATGAGCAGCACACCAGGATGTGGACTAGACAGCTCTTTGATTTTTTTTTGTCATTATGCTTCTTTTCTTGTTCTATAACATGGGCTAAGTATCTCATGTATCTGTGTGATGAGAAATATATTCAATTAATGCTTACTGGTTTATGGTCCCATTGGGGACAGTGCATGCGTAGCCAGAGAATGTCCTTCTGGAGCTTTTTGCTAATCTGCTTTTATGAGAGAGGATGATGATTCTCAGAAGAGAGCAAAGGAATAGGCAAGGGGGGAGAACTGCTACTGACCTTTTTCCCTTAGAGAGTACCATTTCTTCTCTCATGGAAAAGAAGTATTAAGTCCTCAATTCAAAGACTATGAATGCTGTTCTTCAGAGCAGGAGAAATATGTGGAAGTTCAGGACTGGTAGGAGACAGTGGTCACATCTGTCAAACTTGGCCTAAGGAGAACAGTAAGAGCATTATTTAGATGTCAGAGTGGGTGCATCAAGTTTACAGCAACACCGTGCCAGGGCTATTTTGTTATGGTAGCTCCTGCAGTTTCTAAAGGCCAATTAGTTTCAAAAAGGCCCATTAGTTTTGCTGGAGAAATACTTTTAAATAAAACTTGAATGTCTTAATTCCCGTTATGAAATACTGGAGTAAAAATGAATTGTGAAATGAAAACACACTTCAAAAACTGTTATGTGCCCTGCAGCTCTGCTGTAGTTTGTTTTTTACTGCACAGATAAAGGAAGTTTATCCAAGGCCTGAGGTTAGCAGGTACTGAGCATTCATAGCCCACAACATGCCACGGCACCCACAGTACCCACAACCAGATTTAGCACCAAATAGTGCTGGTAACACTAATGACTCATTTTTTTCACAACCAACCTAAGGGCACAAAGCATTGCATTATTCCTAATGCTGGACCCCAAATCCTGCTTTTTTCATACCCCAACAGGAAAACTGCCTGAACGCTGATGTGGTTGAACAGATTTATAAGAGGAATCCTATTCTCCGTTACACTCATCATCCGCTGCACTCGCCATTACTGCCACTGCCATATGGGGACATCAATCTAAACTGTAAGTTTTTCAATAACAGAAACACTTTTCCTTATGAAAGACTAAACTAGAGGATGGGATTTTTAAGTCAGCGAGCTACAGTGAAGTAAAGGTAGGCAAAATATATGTTTATAATACAAATAGACAAGTTTCCCTGTTCTGAGAATAGCAGTTTGCCTAGCATAGAGCCTTGGGGTTATATTACAGAAGGGAAGGTTGCTACTGCCTTCAGCAACACAGCTAAGACTGAGTTTGAAAAGCCTTGCCTTGAAATAAGCAACTAAACCCTATTCATTCAGTCTCCTTGAATCATATTCTCTTTCTCAAGTCATTGTTACTTCCTATCCCATGTGGGGAGCTGCAGCAGCCACAACTTCCAATTAACAAGTGTAAGTTTCGTCAGATGTGATGGAAAGCCCTATTTATGGGAATCAACATCTAAGTGTACATGAAAGAAGAAATGCTTTATTTACTTCCAAAATTAGTGTAATCATGTCTTTTAATATCCTTGATTCAACCACTAACTTAGAAGTCTTTTTGGAATGAGTGGTTCAGATCTATTGATGGTTGTGAACTTGGTGTCCTTAAATGGATTTGGTTATCTTAGTTTGCGTATTAAACAAGATATGACTCAGGCCACAAGTTTCATCCTTGGGGGAAGGATGGGAGGTCACACGACTAAAAGTGAAGGTATTTCAAGTAAGACTTTCTGGTAACTCAAGTGATACCCTTCTACTCAAATGACGAGGAAAATCCTAGGACAAACCTTTCTTTTCTCTTGCCCCTCCTACTGTTCAGTGGCAAGGCACAGTTCTGTTCTTGGCACTTGAGCAGATTGTCCCGTATGGGAGTGAAACATGGTTGGTCTCTATTCCCCATGGATAGGAACATCTAGCCACCTCTGAGGCAGAAGTCTTGCCAAAGTCTTCCCTTACTAAATGTAGCTCCAAAAATGGACTGACACTTAGCTATTGCCTTGACTTGCAGTTCAGTTCTAGGTATTTTCTGTAATAGTATAATGTCAGGTTAGAAACTTCATTTTCATAACATACATCTGTACTGTATCAGAGCAATTTCTTCCGTCTACCAAACCCAAGAACTCCATGGTTCTTTTAAGGAGATTGTAATAGTTGTTAGCCCACGTTGAATAACCGGTAGCACAAAAACAATCACCACCTTTTTCAGCATTCAAAAAGCAAATTGCCATGTCATAGCCATGACTTTGTTTAGTAGCATTGTTTAATTAAAATGCTACTGCTGTAGACAAAAATGATACCATGTATCTTTGTTACTTTCCATAACACAGTTATGCTTTACCTCATTTATGATCTGATCAGGTTTTCAGTGTCTTGTGACTGCAAAACAAGTGATACAACACTTCATCAGTGTGTGTTGCTCTGGAAGGAAGACTCTCCATCACAAAAAACTGATCAATCAAGATACACTTTTTCCATTATGTTGTCAGAAAATGGCAAAGTGGGATTTCATTAAATTCAGAACAAATCTCAATAGCAAAATAACTCATAAAATGAGTTTGCATCATACATCTGAAATGAAAAATACCTGTTCTAATATCCTGCATAATAAGGGTAATAAGGGTCACAAAGTATCATTAAACAATTCCCAAATAAAGCCTGTGTGCTTTTTCTTTTATGTCTCGGTCTAAGAATCTTTCTCCTTACTGTTCTTTTGTAGTGCTGAAAGACAAAGGCTACACAACTCTGCAGGATGAAGCCATCAAGATATTTAATTCTTTACAGCAGCTGGAATCTATGTCTGATCCCATCCCTATAATCCAAGGTATCCTCCAAACAGGACATGATTTACGACCCCTCCGAGATGAGCTCTACTGTCAGCTCATCAAGCAAACCAATAAAGTGCCTAACCCTGGAAGCGTGGGGAACCTCTACAGTTGGCAAATACTCACCTGCATGAGTTGCACATTTCTGCCCAGTCGCAGCATCCTCAAATATCTCAAGTTTCATCTCAAAAGGTGAGAAGCTTTGAAGTACTAAAGCAAGAAATGAAGTTTCTTCACTCATTGTTTTCTTCACCATGACTTGTATCAGTGTTTAGATATCTTGAAGTGAGACTTGAAGATGCATTTACTTAGTGTATTGGTTATGCCAAAAGAAAATGTTGTAGGAAAAGTGTCTCTGAGTTATCTAGATGGAATTACACTCATTTGAAGAATCAAAAAAACCCACAAAATTGAATGCACAATTTGTTAATGTTGATAAAAGGAGGGCTTTCTGTAACTGTATAAACTTGTTTAAATGATTTGCAGCCCATACTGCTAGGTCCTATTATCAACTGTTCAAATCAACCTGTTAAAAATTCTTCATCCTGCTTTACCTTAATTTTATAAGGTACATGTCATGCACATAAAAGAACATTATCATATTTAAAGATTTATTTGAGGTAAAAGCATAGGATTGCAAATCTAATTTTAAAATATTAGTGACCATTAAAAAGATAATAAATCATTCTCAATAGTTCAGCATTAACCAGAATATGGAGTTCTTCTTGCTGTGATGCAACAGAAGAATGCAGAGTATGTAATTAGGAAAGTTAGTCCACCAAGAAACTGTTCTCAGTAATTTAAAAGTCTTGTCTGTATTTGTGCTAGAGCATCAACTTTGTCAATCACTTTGCTAAATCTAATTGTTTTATAATATTTGTAAAATACTTGTAATGAAAATACATCTTTGAACCAAGTTGAGGTAAGTAAAAAATGGTGTTTATATAACTGTTAAAATGAAAAAATTCAACATTGAATCACTTTCTCAGTTTAACTCACCTCCTAATTAAAAGAAAATGCAGCTGATACATTTAAAGGTTGGTTTCAATACCATAGATGCATAATCATCTTACAGCCTATCTGTAATTCTGCAGTAATATTTTTATGCCTTGCAGATCACAAATCACTGTACTTTTTCACAGAAATTAAACCTGAGTAGCTCTAAGGAGCTGTTATTTTGTCACTGGAAGTATTACAGAAACACTCTGTACTGAAAGCTACCGAAATTCAACAATTTTCAATAATTAAGAGTTGAGTTCATTAAAGTAGCTAATGAATATTCATAGGACTAACCACTGAACAGTAAGGTCTAGAGAGAATCTTTTAGAAAATCAGGAATAAAAATCAAGTGACACTACAGCAAAAGTGAGCAGTCAAACATGTTCTATTGCTTTTTTCTGTAGTACCTTAGTGCAGTTTAGTCTTCATTCAACAACTGTTACTGACATAAAGGGGAGTTGATTACAAGAAGGTTTGCACAGTTATCTTGCTGTCAAATCTGAGTTGTTATAAGATTCCTGTAGTTAATGCTATGAAGGGCATTCAGGTTTTTCTTTCCATTAGGTTTGTAGAACATAATGATGGAAGTACATTGTATTTACCACAGTAAATCAATCACAAGTTAGAACACTTTCCTTGACAGTGAAGATAAACCTTGGAGCATGTCAGTTCAATAGTGTACTGGCTACAGAAGTACTTTCAGGGGAAAAAAAAAAATCTCAAATAAGTAAACTTCCTGTTTCACTGACTGGCAGCTTGAAGTCATAAGCTTTGTCTCACAGGGTTCGTGACCAGTTTCCAGGAACTGAAATGGAGAAATATGCACTTTTTACTTATGAATCTCTGAAGAAAACCAAAAGCAGAGAGTTTGTGCCATCACGGGATGAAATAGAAGCACTGATTGGCCGGCAGGAAATGACATCCACAGTTTATTGCCATGGTGGGGGCTCCTGTAAGATTACGATCAACTCACACACTACAGCTGGAGAGGTGAGAAGTGGTGACAGAATGTCTTTGGAACAAAATCCCTGTGTCCATTTATGTGCCAGTTCAGGCAGCAGTAGCGTTAAACTTTGGGAGCACTGGAACCTTCTCTGCTGGCTTTTCCTTTCAGGGAAGGGAAGGCTTACAGAGCTGTCCCTCCAGTCCCCCAGTGTGTTCTGAAGAAATCCCTGCTATAAAAACTGTCTTTATGCTGCAGAGGATCACCCAACTATAGTTCCTTCTTATAGGAGGAATTGCAGGAAAAACTAAGCAATTCAGCAGAGGCATTACTGGAATAACTTCAGTAGATATTGGTGTGTATGAGTTGCTACCTAAAAATGGAAGACTCTTGCTGAGTTAGTGAAGTACAGGGGTTGGCCAGGACACAGCACATGCATATTCTGAAAGAATAAAAATTAAAGTGGAATTTGACAACAATTAATAATGCCGATAAGAACAAATTAGCAATGTTTTTAGCCTAATATAAAATCTAGCTTTGAATTTTCTTCTAATTATGTGTCTTACTCTGTGGTGCTGCTTTTCCATGCTATGATTTTTTTCATGTGCTGTTTTTCATTTAGGTGGTTGAAAAGTTAATTCGTGGTTTGGCCATGGAGGATAGCAGAAATATGTTTGCTTTGTTTGAATACAACGGAACTACTGATAAAGCAATTGAAAGCAGAACCATTGTAGCTGATGTCTTGGCAAAGTTTGAAAAGTGAGTGTGCCTCTCCTTCTCTCTCTCCACTCTAATAAGTAGCAATTAAATAAATTTCAAATGTCAATAATGCTGAATTTTCTCCTTTTGCTTCTTTGTGATGATGCAGCTGAATTACACACAGAGCCATTTCTGGAACAAAGCATCTTTTTTTCTTTTTTCTTAAAAGAATTAATAGCCACCTATTCACTTATGTAGGTCTTCCTCTGTCCTGATACTAGTAAAGTATTATTTCTCATTACTATTTCCACATTTTCTTTTCCATTACTACAAATTTTTCCACCATTACCAGCATTGTGTCTGGGAGAACTGAACTCCAGGCCATCATTGCCTTTCCAGCTGTCTGTTGCCTAACTTCATGTGGAAGTCACCACAGTACAGCTCACCACTACATTTTTCTTACCAGTAAAATTACAACCACCCATAGCACTGTAGTAAGAAAAATGTAATACAAGCCTAAATACCTCTTTGTCATCCCTGTGTTGTATGCATGGCAATCAGCATCTTTTATCCACTTAATAATGGGGGGGGGAAAGGAATGTTTTAAGTGTTGTGCGGTTCCATTTTATAACAGGACTTAATGATGTTGCTTTTATTAACACCTGACTGAGCCACAAATCAAATTTTATTAAGAGAATTTGGGTTAGAAATAGTTGACTGAGAATTGAATGAGAACTGAGTCAACATTTGTAAGTGTTTGATTTTGCTGTAGGCTTTAAACACACAGACACACATAAAGCAAGATTCAGCTGATTCCTTGCTTATATTTCTGAGGTGTCAATTTAGAAAAGAGGTTGGTTTCACAGGTCTGATCTCTCTCTCTCTCTCTCTCTCTCTCTTTACACAATGCTGAAGGCTTGCTGCCACTGCTGAAGCTGGGGAGATGCACTGGAAGTTCTACTTCAAGCTCTACTGCTTCCTGGACACAGAAAATGTCCCAAAAGATAGTGTGGAATTTGCCTTTATGTTTGAGCAGGTAAAGGACAAGGGTTCAGTTTTGAGGCACTTTTAAGAGGAGGAAAAAAGCAAGAGATCTAGGCAGCACAGAGGGAGTTTTGACTATGCGTCTGTTCAACTAAATGCACTACTACTCAAGCATCAAGAGCAAAGGAAGGAAGCAGTTCAGTGGTCAAAACAGACTTATCCTTACATAAGTGAAGCACATATGATTTTCCTAATGTTATGTTTCTTACTTCTGCATTACTTGTCAATTGCTTTATATGTAGTGGTAAAAAATTGGATAGCCGGGTCTCAGCTGTGTTTAAAAAAAAAAAGGATAATAGTTGCTTTTAATTTTCCTCTTATTAAACCATTTTCTGAAGAAAATGTAAGAAATAAAGTGAAAAAAGTGTAATTGGCAAGCAATTAATTAATAAGAGACTCATGCTGGCAACTGTACAAAACTAATTGAGTAATAGCTTTTTATCTTTTCAAAAACCAATCGTTTCATAGGCACCTTAGTAAAATCAGTCCCATCTCAGCAGTAACTGTAAGACAGCTATGATGAGCGGAAATACACTTAATAAATGTGCTGAGTTCAGAATGAGGCTATATTTCAAAACATAAAATGAGTTAAATGATTTATAATGAAAATTAAATGCATCAACAGTTGGATTTCTATTCTGTCAAGCCCTGTAGTTGCTCAGAAACTCACTGATGGCATTTAGTACTGTTGATTGACCTTCTGTATTCCAAATGACTAAAAATTCTTCCAGCAGTCAGCTTCTTTCAAGTGGGCACTAGATACAGATAAAGATTTCTGTATAAGATTAAGATTTCTGATTTCTGGCATTCACAATGCTGAGACACTGACATTCTGCTGGTAAGCAAGCCTGATGTGATCAAGAACTGACATACTTCAATTTTCGTATATATGAAGGCTTTACCCCTTCTACAGGTTCAGAAACCTCTTCATTGTAATAGAGTATTTCTTCCTTTTTCAGTTTATGTTTTAAGGCATCATATTACATCACAAGTCTACCAAAGGCTCCTTCCAGAGCCTACTACTGTAGCTCAGTCCAGAACTGCTTTTTGTCAGCAAGGATCTGGGCAATGGGTTGCCTTGGTTGGGCTTAGAAATGTCATTCTGTCTGTCTGTTGTTACATATAGAGCAGTCAGCCAGTTAGTGCTTCTGTTTGGGATGAAGTTCAAACAGCAAGAAAATCCATGAGAGCTCTGCATCTGAGCTATTACATTATGGGTTTAAGAGGCAGATTCAGATAGTTTTGTGTATGAATGGCTAAAATAAGCACATTTGCTGAAGCACATTGTTTTCATGCAGTATTCTGTGCTGACTAGTGTTTAGCCAAATATTTTATGTCTTGTGAAAACCAGTAGTATTGCAGTTATAAAGCATGGCATGTTCGATCTCTACCCTTAATATTACAGTAAGACCTTGAAGAGGTGATGCTACATTCTAACATCAGTTCTGGGGTTTTTTGTTTTTTTTTCTAATTGTCTGCTTTTGGTGTCAGTCATCAACTTTTTTCAGACAATTATGAAAATTATCTTTTGTCATTGGTTTTAGTTCTGTAGCCTCCATTATTTTAAAATTTGAATCTTTTAATAATCATAAGGCGCTGAAGGAAATCTTTCAGTTCTTCTTTCTCATTAAAATACCATCCTTCCATTTCCACAAGACAGCTCTTCCTTCTGCATGTGTAAAACCTCAGGTAAACCATCTTGCGTGTTTAAAGGCATATTTTGTAAATCTAAAGAAACTGTAAGTTACTTAGATGTGTATTATCTCTATGTGTTTACTAAACCTCGTAATTCCTGCATCTCCAGTCATGAGGTGTGTTTGTTTACTCTACTGGTGTCACCTGAAAAAAAATCATAGCTGCTGCACATTTCCACAGGTTTGAACAAGTGTGCAGAGGTCTTCTTGGTTCAGAATCTCATCCCTGATGCTACAGACCACTGTATTGTGTAGATGTTTTACTAACTTGATTTGGGATCCATTGAAGATTTATTGTTTTTCCTCGGTAAAACTACAAAGCTGTCCTAAAGTTTGGCTTGTTTGGCTGGAAACATCAGTTTTCACTGAGAGATTATTGATAACAGTAAGCAAACCTAGATGTCTGTTTCTTCCTAATGCCCTTGAACATAAATGGCTTCTTTTCAAGCAAATGTTTAGATCCTGATTTTCTCCTTTTTACATTATATTTTCCTTTTCAGTAATTCAGTTGCTCTTATATATGTGAGTTCACTAAAACCTGTACAGTAACAGTAATTCCCATTCAGCAGGTTTCCTCAGTTGCCTTGCAGTTCTTCTGGTAAACCCAGTTTTACCCAGTTTAACAAGTTTTACCCAGTTTAACAAGTTTGTCAAAAGATTTACCACATTTCATTTATTTAATGGATCGTTTATTTCAGATCCTGGGTTTACCTGGCAATAAATTTACTTCCCATTTCTCTCTAATTCCTTTCAAAGACTGGTTTATACATAAAAAGCTACCTTTTTTTCCCCTTGATAGGCTCATGAAGCAGTGATTAAAGGACATTATCCTGCTCCTGAAGAAACCCTCCAGGTCCTTGCAGCTTTGCGTCTTCAGTACCTTCAGGGAGATTACACTCTGCATACCACTGTACCAGAAATGGAGGAAGTCTATCCCTTGCAAAAGCTGAAGTCTCGGATTACACAGTCTACCAAAACATTTACTGCAGTAGAGAAGGCTGAGAAGAAACGAGCCAGCTTTCTTGAAGGAACACTGCGGAGGAGTTTCCGCAGTGGCTCTGTCAGCAAACAGAAGGTTGAGGAGGATCAGATGTTAGACATGTGGGTCAAAGAGGAAATCTCAGCATCCAGGACTAGTATTATTGACAAATGGAAAAAACTCCAGAGGATGAATCAGGAGCAGGCTATGGCAAAGTACATGGCTTTGATTAAGGAATGGCCTGGCTATGGTTCAACACTCTTTGACGTAGAGGTAAGACCTCGTGAACATTCAAACTAGTTTATACTGTATAGGTGATGATTTCATTACAGAGTAGTGAAAACATAAATATGGTATCACAGTGCTTAGACAGCTGATGTAATAAACTGTTAGCTATTAAAAGCCTACTCCCATTAGCAAGCACTTGTAGCTATTTAAATCCACCAGTTAACCATAAAATAGAGGGACAGAATTCTAGCCTGATGGGTTGCAAACAAGTTTAAGAAGTGTAAAAGGCAACATTCAAAGAGGGACAAGCAATATGCACTTTTTAAAAAATGGTTACAGACAAGAACATCAACAGTAAGTGGTGTGTAGCTCCTGCTGTTCCCTTTGCTGTTAATTTACATTTTTTATCTCTAGTGTAAAGAAGGGGGATTCCCACAAGAGTTGTGGCTTGGAGTCAGCGCTGATGCAGTTTCTGTCTACAAGCGTGGGGAAGGAAGGCCTCTGGAGGTGTTCCAGTATGAACATATCTTGTCATTTGGTGCACCACTTGCCAACACCTACAAGATCGTGGTGGATGAGAGAGAACTGCTTTTTGAAACTAGTGAGGTAAGAGCAAGGTAGTTCTGTTGTTGTGGTCTTCCTATTTTGATAGTCAGGTTACTTAGTAATTCAAGTAGTAGCTACAAATGTCACAGATCTATTCAAGATCCCTGTAAAGCTAAAGGGATCATGAGATGGATAGAAGTGCTGAGTATTTTTGTTTAACTGCAAATGGATTTTGTTGAAAGCTTGACAGTTTTATATTGTTAGTGTCTAAAGAAATTCATTCACGTATTGTTACCTTACTAAGAACTTTGCTCTTTATACTCTTGGCAGGTGGTTGACATTGCAAAGCTGATGAAAGCTTACATCAGTATGATCGTGAAAAAACGCTACAGCACCTCTCGATCAGTGAGTAGCCATGGAAGTCAGGGCAGCTGCAGGTGAAAACAAAACCAGTTCCACTGCACCCTAAATAGAATATGTTCCCTGGCCTCAGAACAACCTGATGACATTGATCATGTTTGTTGACAAGCTAACGAAGAACCAGAGTTTCAACGGAAAATATCTTCAAACAATGTTGTAGAAAGACCGCAGGGTGGGCAGGGGAAAATCAGCTGAAATAGTCACATACTAGAACCGCTGGCTCATTCAAAACTTTCCAAAGCATTATTATCTTCAGTTGATGTAAGAAACGCCTTAAGACTCAATCCACTGCAATACAAGCAGTAATAAGTGCCTTACAATATTAAGCATAACTTGTATTGGCCTAAAATTGCTGATAAAATTCAAGAAGATTTCTTTTGTCCTTTCAGAACACTGAAAACAAAGTTATATTCATCCATTCTGCACTAATCTACTGGCCTGTATACAGGTGGGAAGGGGGAGGGAAGAAGAGCAAGGTATATTTTTTTTGGAGCGCTGCTGGCAGCCTTCCTGATGGACGCCAACACTTTGTTTCCCGTTGCTTCCATGGATGTGCACATTGTGCATGCATATTTGAGCTGTCAGTAAAATTTGACAAATTTTATTCTGTATTTCACAAGTCTTTTGAAGCAAAGGGAATAAGTATGTGCAATGGTGTAAACAGTCTTTCTGTACATTTTAATAGTTCAGAGTTATAGGTGTTACAATTGTATGGTTACTTTATAAGCAGTTTTATTAACCAGTAAATTCCAAAATTTTCATACACTGATTTTACTATTGCAAATATGTATTACCATATAAGTAGCAGAAGTCTGCATTCTGTATCTGCTGTATGATAAAGAGAGATGTAGCTGAGAATATTTATAGACTACCCTAATATGGAAATACAGTTATCAGTTCAATTCTTCATCCTGTCAGCTTATGTTTTTAATATTAATTTTTTCTTTAAAAGACATCACTCTTTTATACTTCTGGCTGGACTCTCCAACCCAGACTGACTGCCAAAGGTCAGAACCCCTCAGAGTTGACTAGAGAACGCAATGTTATACAATGCAACTACTTTAATACAGAGTTCTCTATTTTACCTGATTGCCTGATGAAGGTTCTTGACAGTACCCTGTAAATAAATTGGGGAATATCAGCTAATAATAAGTTGATTTTGGACTTTTATTTTTGTACAGAAATACTGTAATATAAGGCAAAACTTTGATCAAAGGTATCTTTTTGTCCACAGCTAAAAGAAAAAAAAGAAACCTGTAAAAACTTACTGTTGTTAAAAACCTCAGCCTTTAAGAAATCATGCCTACTCACTGAAAAAAAAAAAAAGTCCAGCAATAAAGAAAATATATGTCATGTGCTCTGTTTCTGTTTCATACTGAGTTGGACTTTGAACAAAATCCTAATTTCATCAGTCTTCTCAGAAGCCAAGCCAGGAACACAGTGTAGACTACATATATATGTGTGTGTGTGTTTGTGTGTGTGTATGCTTTTATTTGGAAAGGTGCATGTGCTGTGTGTTGTACTGGGACAGGTTTCCTTGCCCATGCAATATGTGTCCTTTACATGAGATAGAGGGGAAGGACCGCTGAGCAATTCCACACCACCAGGAACATGCAAGTAAAGCTTTTGCTATTTAGGTAGCCCTAATGCAAGATGGCTTGTTTTTATTAGCCAGCCACAGCATGGTAGTGCAGCATGTGCTGCCCTCTTAAGTGTACATAGCCTTTATAGGGTACAAGGCTTGCTCTGAGAAATCCTCCACCCTCCTCCCACTGCCAGGTACGTTTAGTCACTCCATCTGTGCCACCTCTCCTCAGTCCCTCTATGGACATACTAATTTCATGCTTCTACGCTCCCAGCGAAGGTGGATTTAATTTAAGGAAGACAAGAAAAATGAGAGGAGCTATATTTTAAGTATGTATAGTTACACACACACAGAGTATCTGAGACTGTTTTTTTTTTTTTATTTTTCACATATGCAAGTTCTTTAGAAAGAATTTCACTGCTCTTAGCAAGGCATCCTTGGAATAACACAATTTATGCATTTCAGCCAGCACAGCAAGAAAGTTCAGTTTTGTCTATCTATAAACATGCTCAGAGAAGTCCTTGTACATCATCATAATCAGTAATTGGTAAAAACCCAGGAATATACAAGATGACAATCTTGTTCAATGTCACAGTCTTGAGAAGCTGACACCACTTCTCTGCTCCTGATTCGTTTGCCTCCTGACTGACTTCTGGATGCTATCAACCATTAAGAGGGAAGTGACTATTAGTGACAGAACTACTTGTCACTACATCACTATAACTAAGAGCTTCTTTTCGTTCATGCCAGATCAGCCAACCTGCCATGCAAATCTTACTCCAGTTACTGCTGTAGAGGCAAATAAAAGATTTCCTAATTGGTGAAACTTGACAGAAAGAATGCACAGTTTATCAAAATAAATACTGCATAATAGACATGCCTGTGTTTGAAAGTGAGAAAAAAGTTCCTTAAACTATAAAATCTTTAAATATTGAGTGAGAAGATGAGATTTTTGCAAATTATTTTGCTACAATACAAGCTTCATCTAAACATACATGAAATGTCTTGCTAGAGCCAGATCCTCTCTCCTGCCTGTGATCTCTTCAGTTACAGTAGCAGTTGAGTTTATCTGAAGAGAGGAGAGGAACTTCTGCCACAGAACACATTTTTACTTTTATCCTTGTTTAGAATTAAAGGCTTGTGTTTCCAAAAGAACAAACATAGTAGCAGCATACCACTACTGAAAAAAGCAAAAGATATGTACTTCAGGACAGACTACGGTATTGCAACTGCTACACTCTGTAGGTTGAGTGCATCAGAAATCACAAAGAACTTAGTATTAGAAATTAAAGAGTTCTAAGAGCAACGTCCAGTCCCTCTAGAAAGGAGTTTTACTGTACGTGTTGCAGTTTTCAGGATTTGAAACTTGTGTATTTTCTGAAAGAACTAAGAGTAGCAAGTCCTGCTCCGTTACCCACCTCCTGCCACCAGACTGCTCAGCTCATGTGGCCTCACCACCTGTCCCTGCCTTTGGAACTGGCCCCAATTATGGTACTGACACTCATTCTCTTCTGGAAGATCTGCCACCCCCAGGCAGTTTCACCAACTCTGTCAAAAATCCTCTAGAAGCACACATTGGGTTCCTGCACCCTGTGACTGCACCTGATCAAATACAGCCACACCAAGAAGAGCACGGGACCCCACTGACCAGACATGCTGCAAGAGCACAGGCTGGGCAGAAATCACAAGAGTCAGGCCTAGAAATAGAGTGTCAGCTGCAATGGAAATAAAATTGTATATCCTCATCTTAGCATGCCTTAAATCACAGAAATGTAGAATGGTTTGAAGTGGGAGGGACTTTAAAGATCATCTAGTTCCAACCCTCCTGCCATGCGGAGGGACACCTTCTCCTAGTCCAAGTTGCTCAGAGCCCCATCCAACCTGGCCTTAAACACTCCCAGGGATGGGGCAGCCACAGCTTCTCTGGGCAACATGTGCCAGTGCCTCACCACCCTCACAGGGAAGAATTTCTAATATCTAATCAAAACCTGCCTTCTCTTAGTTTGAAGCCATTCCCCCTTGTCCTTTCACTACGTGCCCTTATAAAAACTCCTGCTCCAGCTTTCTTGTAGACCCCTTTAGGTACTGGAAGCCTGCTCTAAAGTCTCCCCAGAGCCTTCCTCAGGCAGAACAACCCCAACTCTCTCAGCCTTCATAGGAAACCCCAACTCTCTCATGTCTTCATAGGAAAGGTGCTCCATCCCTCTAATCACCTTTGTGGCCCTCTTCTGGACTTGGCTGGCCATGCCTCAATTCCACATATGTCTTCAGGCTTCCATCTAGCACTCTTCCTGTGCCTCATGATACGATACATCCATTTGTCATGGTGCCAGAATTCTTAATAAACTTAATTACAAAGGTTATGCAGAGGAAACTGCTTCAGCCAAGAAGCATCGCATCAGAAACCCAGGTTTCAAGCCCCACATTTCTGAGGCACGTGGCTATAACACGTACACACAGGTTTGCACGAGCACAAGCACCCAATACAGACACACTACAGCACTGCAAGTCATGCTGGCCTAGGTCCATTTTACTGTAACTCGGGCAGAAGTGGCAGCTTCTTCAGTGCTGACAGACTATCCCTCAGGGCACATGCACTCCATATAATTTACAGCTCTGTTAAGTAAATACAGAAGGGTACCAACCAAATACGACAGCACTGTCTCAAGGAAAACTAATTCTCTGTGGTGCCCAGCCCTAGAAAGTCACTGCATTTCACTCCATCAGATACAGAAATACAGGTACAAGCTGTGCTGTGGCACCTACCTCAGACCCATGGAACTGCAAAGGTGGCTGAGATTTTCTAATAAAGTTTAATCTTGAAGGAATCCACTGAGAATATCTCCCTTATCACAACAGACACAAGGCTTTTGGTGCAATACACAAACTACCCATGCTTCAGCAGCCATGGGAAGCCAGCAGAAGAGGGCAGCAGCGATCCAAGGAAGTGAACTATACAGCAAGTGGTTCTATCTGCAGTATGAATTTACCTGGCTGGTAAAGGCTGGAGTAGGAGAACGAAGAGGGAGTCTTCTTGTTATGTTTGCTGTCCACCTGTCGTAAATGAGTGTTTTAGGTTGCTCAAAGAATCACCAGCTACGGTACCGGCAAAACCAGGTTTAATATTAAAGCAAAAGCATGACAAAATTCATTTCAAGGTTTGCTCTACTACTGAATAGATGGTTAAAGCACACAGGGAAAAGTCAGACTAAAATCTAAAATTAATCGATCTAAAACTACAATCTACTAAAAATAATCTATGTGGAGGTTGGGGATGGAAAAAGGGTAAGGATGAGAAAGGGTAAGGATAACTAGGAATGAGGGAGATCCTCCCACAGAGTCACAAGGTTCAGAGTGGACCCCCCTTGCCAAACTTAGCCCCAGATTTGGCCAATGGTTTAGACCTAAAGGTTTAAACAGCACTTAACAGCACTTCATCTATAGCCTAATTTAAGTAATTTAACAAAAGATTTTCTAGAGAATTTACTATAAGCACAACAGTAACTCACTTATGGGCCTGACTAACTTATGAATCTAACATATTTAAGAATCTAAGAGAGCAAGATTAATAGTACATTTGCCATCGCATATATGCACTCAGACCAAAAGGACTGTGTACAAGGTATAATATACCTGTGAAAAATTCCCCTCATGTTCCATGAAGTATTCATGTCAGATGCCTTTGCATCTTTTCAACGCGCGAAGGATTGAGCCTTGAGGAGTAGCCCAGGCTCCATCTGTGTCAGTCCTCCAAGTACAGCAAATTTGAGAGTTCTCTGGCTCTGAGAGGTGTCCCCCTCAGAGAGAGATTGCTGGTCGCATCCCACTGCAGTCCAGTAGAGCTCAAAGGGTCTCACTTAGGATCACTGTTGATAGGGTCGCAAGAGATTTGGCTTCAGTCATAGTAATTTTCCATCCTGTCTGCAATTCAGGTTAGTAATTTCTTTGAAAGTTTGATAATAAAAATATTGTTCCACTGGGGTTGTTATTCAGGCAAGAAAAATAAGTTTCTAAGGCTGTTTATTAAAAAAATCAGGAGTTTGTAGGTGTGGTGGGGAAAAAAGTGTTTTTTCCCCCTGGAGTTAAAAAAATGGTAACCCCCGAGGGGGTGGTGTCTCTCTTGGTGTTGACCGAATCAGCACTCCTGCAAAATTTAAACATATCACACTAACCAGAAAAGAAGGATGATGAGGTAGTTGAAGAGGAGACTGGCCATGTTCTGAAGCCACGAGGAAGGGGCAGGAGCCTCGCCGGGGCCCGGCTGG